GCCTCCATTATGAGATGGTGAGTTCTGGAGGCTAAAGTCTTCGAATAACATTTATTTGCTTTACACCCTCCTCAAGAATCAAACTCAATGTCCAAGTCGATTCCTAAACTGTAGGAAATGGTCATTCTTGACTTACGGCTTAACCACTTTATGGAGTTGTCGGAAAATAATTGAAATTTGGGGATGTTTTCTCCCCTGCTTGGCCAGTTTCCACCACCATTCATTACATGTTCAGAAGATGCAAACTTATTTGGGTGTTAGCCTTCAGTCCCGACATAAATGGAAGATGGCTGTAAAAATATCCGTAAGTTCTCAGGCCACAGTTTTCAGTTCCACTGACTAATGGATGGAGTTTTTCCTTGTGCCCACATCACCCTGGGATCTGGGAATGCATTAAAAGAGTAAGAAAACACCATCCCTTTTCCTGAGTATTCTTCCCTTCCTGTGGACAAGCAAGACATAAATGAACAAATCAGAAAAAATAGAAGTCAGCAAGTAATAGTTAATTGGGGGCAGCAGGGAGGAGAACCAGAGTGCGCAGGTGTCTCTGGGACAGACTGAGGAAGAGGCTACCGCTTGGCAAAGGCCTGGAAAGGATGGGGGCACGGAGAGGGTACAGAGGGCAGAAAGCCCTTGGGGGAGCAGGAGGAACAGAACAATGTGGGGATGCACGGGAAGCATGATTGGGGGTTTGCATGGTCTGCATTGCTACCCTTTTTAGCAGCAGGGGTAGTTAAGAGATTACTGTATGTGTAAATTTGGGCCATGGCCAAATAATACCCAATTTGTTCATAAACTTCATTTTTTAAGGACTATTAATTCAGCCCCTTTTCTGAGCAATAAATTAACATTTTATGAAGATTAAGCTGCAGACACAAAATTGAATGCCTCTTTAAACACCATGATCACCAGCAGCGCATCCAATTTGTCATTGCTAAATTGTGTATTAAGCTAAATAGTTGCTCATATGTTTTGGATTTTTTGTTGATAATTATTTTTTTCCTTTCCCCAGATTTTCCTGCATGGAAACAATTTAAACAGCCTTCACCAGCTAATCCACCCCGAATTTTTGCCCTCTGAATTTGGAGGAACCCTTCCTCCTTATGACATGGGAACTTGGGCCCGGACGTTACTTGGTCCAGACTACAGTGATGAAAATGACTATACTCACACTTCCTACAATGCAATGCACGTGAAACACACATCCTCCAATCTGGAGAGAGAATGCTCCCCCAAGCCGATGAAGAGGTAAGACGTGCATTATCAGAGCCTCCCAGTCAGAGGTCAATAAGCATTTTTGATTTGGGCCTATTGCGGGTTAAGTAATTGAAGACCTTTATGAGCACAGAACTTGAATAAAATAAATTGCAATACATTCTCAGCTGATTTCACTAGAATTGAAAGCAAATGGGGCTTGGCTGGCCCAGAAATCGAGTTGTCCCTGTTGTATTAAGGAAACAGTTAAAGGCCGGACCTTGCTCATGTCACGATTACAGTGCTCGTCTCTAGGGAGCCTGAGTTAACACACAGAGAATGAAATGTTGGGCCTTTGAGATGGCCTGGATTGAAAAAGCAACCTTCCAGAAAGCATTCCTATTATCCATGCATTTAGAACCATTTATTGAGCATTTACTTGCCTATAGACACTGATGGGCGCTGGGAACACGCATATGAATAAGACATCAAAAGAACAGAGAAGCGTGGCCCGGGAAAATCTGTCGTAAGACTTTTGTCAACATGTTTATAAAGCGGGTGACACTGGAGCTAGGCTCTGAAGGATGAAAATCAGCAACCCAGGCTTAAAAAGGAGGAGAAGGCATTCTAGGCAAAGGGGATAGACGGGGGCATAGAGGCATGGAGGCATCAGAGGGATGGAATATTCTGGTGTGGCCAACAGGTGCATGAGGGGTGCAGGTGGGAGTGGACGTGGAATGAAGTGCTAAAGATTGTTGCATCTGGGTGGTGCAGTATATTGCATACTGAATTTAATAGAGTGCCATGAAAGAGGGATTTTTAAAATCGATGTACAAGTAATAGATGAGTGCTTTCTCATTGTAAAAATTAAAACCTTATTTTTAAGGCTATAATCCCCCAATCTCAAACCCAATTCCTCCCAAAGGTAACCACTGTTATGAGACTAGGGTGGACTCTTCCATTCCATTTTCCATATATTACATGCGTCTATCCACACCCACAGAAAATATCGAATATTGTATATTAGTTTGCTAGGGCTACTGCAACCATGTACCACACACTGGGTCGTTTAGACAACAGAAATGCATTTTCTCACAATTCTGGAGGCTAGAAGTCCAAGATCAAGGTGTTGGCAGGGTTGGTATCTTATGAGACCTCTCTGCTTGGCTTGTAGATGCCTGCCTTCTCCCTGTGTCCTCACATAGACTTCCCTCTGTGTGTCTGCGTCCTAACCCCTTTCTACAATACCAGTCACGTTGGATTAGGACCTACCGTAAAGACTGTTTTACCCTAATTACCTCTTTTAAAGTCTCTCTCTTCAAATAGAGTCACATTCGGAGGTACTGGGGGTTGGGGCTTCCACATATGAATTTGGGGGGGCAGGGCACAGTTTATCCCGTAACATATTATTATGTACATCCTTCTATGCCAGTGAATCTAGACACATCTCATGCTTTTAATGCTGCATGGTATTCCAATAGATGAATATGTCACAGTTTAGCTGTTTCCCTCTTGATGGGTATTTAGCTTATTTCTGAGTTCTTTCTCTATTTCGAATGAAGAGAACTCGGTGTAAGTCCTTGGTATGCCTCCTTTGTTCTCACAGGAAGTTCCTCAGGTAAACTTGGAGCTTGTAGTCGCTGTGTCAGAGGGTGTGTGCATTTTAAATTTAGCCCACACTGCCAAGCGGCCCTCCAAAATGACCGTTCAGATGGATACTCCCACCAGCATGTGTGAGAACGTCTTCCCCAGACTCTTGAAAAGTACTTGATATTCTCAGACTTTAATTCTAATCATCATCCTAATGGCAGGACCGTTCTATGTCATTTTTGTTTTCTCCTCACCAGACACAGTTGAGCAGAGAAATGAGTTCTGGATTTTATGAGGGTCATGGAATTCACAGGGAAATGTAGACTAAAAGCCATCAGAAGGTGGATGAGGGCCATAGCTAATACTGAAGCAATGAAGACTGACTATACTGTAGGGGTATTTGGGGAAGAAAGCGTGTCACTGTTAGAGTCTCCTATGGATAACTGGGCTTACACTGATGTCCTGAAGCAAGAGAGAGTGTCCAGGAGGGAGGATCTCCACATTTCCTGCTCAGTTGGGAATATCGCGTTCACATGTCTGGTAAAGCCTCTCTGCTGAGGCTGGAGCGATCTGGAAATTCATTTATTCCCCAGGTTAACAGCCGACATTCTCTGGGAAGTGTTGGTCACAGGGTTGAGAGGCTGGCTTTGTATCTCTACAGTAAAGGGCCTGACCTTACTGGTATAGGTGAGATTGTCCTGCCCAGGTTCTGACCCACACTCAGTCCAGGCCCCAGCACAGTAATGATCATGTAACAACTCACACTACTGACACTGTTCTGAGCCCATACCCGCATTAACTCGCTAAATCCTCACCGTAACTGTATGAGAGAGGCTTGATCATAATTCCTAGGTCGCAAGTGAGGAAACTGAGACACAGAGAGGTTAAGCAACTGCTCAAGGTCACACAGCTAGTAAATGGCCAAGCTGGGATTCAGAGTTGGGCAGCCTGGCTCCACACTCTGCATTCCTGTCCTCTATAAGATATGACACACTGTCTGCTTTTCCTCATACTTTCTAGCCTCACCTCTAGTGTCAGTCTTCTCTCTCCAATCCCTCCACAGGCAGGAACAATGACCCTTCCTGTGGTTTGTCCCTACCTTATCTCTAGCCACTTAGATAAAGTCATCATACCCTCATATTTGTTGGAATGTCCAAAGTCCAGTGGCATAACGTAGGAATTTGCCGCTTTTTCTCCAGATGATCAGTTACAGACTTACATCTCTTTTGGGTGACTGGACATGTCCTGACTCCAAGTTCTGCCTCTGAGTTGACATTAAGGATCAGAGGAGGTGATAGCCTCCATTATGAGATGGTGAGTTCTGGAGGCTAAAGTCTTTGAATAACATTTATTTGCTTTACACCCTCCTCAAGAATCAAACTCAATGTCCAACACACAATAGACATACAACAGACACCCTATACGTGCTTGCAGTCTATGAATGAATTAATGTTGAATGAGCTGCTACCTACAAAACCCACCCTTGGTACAGTTGTCCAATTACTCAGAGCTGATTTCTCCTGGCTTTCATGGATCCTGACTTATAGGATCTTACAGCCTACTAAGGGAGATAAGATTTTCCCACAAATAACTCTAACATAGTGCAGAATGAGAGAGGTACTATAAAGGAGGTGTAAGAACCTGCTGCAATGTTCTAAGGAAATATTCACTAATCTCAACCAGGAAGACTCTTAGAGAAGTCTTCCTGGACAAAGGCAGGTTTTGGAAAAGGTAAGATATTGAAGTCAAAATCCAAGACTATGCCAGAGAAACTAGTAATTGTGTACCTCTCATTACCTTACCAAGGCCATCAAGGTATCCTGCTCATTCTTGCTTTCACTGATGGTGGCATCCTTGGGCCGTTGCTTGGGGATTTTATTTATTTATTTATTTTAGGGGGGGAGGGGCAGAGGGAGAGAGAAACTCAAGCAGATTCTGTGCTCCGCGTGGAGCCTGATGCAGGGCTCGATCTCACGACCCTGAGATCGTGACCTGAGCCGAAACCAAGAGTGGGTCGCTTAACTGAGTGCGCCACCCAGGTGCACCCCATTTCTTGGGGATTTTAGGCAGCGGCAGGATGGGCCGTGAGGAGATTGGTACCAGCAGTGATGCAGCAAGGAGGGACCACCCCAGCTGTGGGACTGTGCCTGTTGTCAGGTGCTTCACTGATAGAAGTCTGTGGTGACTGAGAAAATTACAGGGACAGAACAGCCACCATTCTTAGCATCTCTGAGCCTTCAGAACCCATAGGGACATGGGGAAATGGAAAACAGAATTGGAGATCTTAAAGGTCATCTCTTCCAGCTTCCCACCTGATGTGGTGCCTGTCCTCCAGCCCAGGCTGTCAGCTAGCCTTAGTGTGCATTGTCCAGAGATGGGCAGGCAGCTAACAGGGCAGTGTGTGCCTTGTAGCATGGCTGTAGGAAGTACCTCCTTGGTCTGAGCCAGATGACCTGGGTCTGTCCTGTGGGATAACGTTCCAATTTCCAATGGGTAGACACTGCCCAGAGTCCCAATCCCTGCCACCATCATTCCCACCAGTCTTCAGGTCCGTTTAGAGTCAAATGGACTTTTGTGGACTGTCTTTGGAACCTAGTCACTATTTATAATGTAGCCTCTGAGTTCCAAGTGGCTCAGAACAATGCTCTCTGGCATGTGTAGAGTAAAATCCAAGATGTATAAAATTTTCAGTGGATTAGTAGGTCTAACAAGCTTTTTTCTTCTTCCAGATAAATTTGATTCAACCCTTAAGCAGAAAAACTTAAAAAAAATTATTAGTTTAGCACCTGGATGGCTCAGTCGGTTAAGAGTCTACCTTTGGCTCAGGCCATGATCCGAGGGTCCTGGGATCGAGCCCTGCATCGGGCTCCCTGCTCAGTGGGGAGCCTGCTTCTCCCTCTCTTCCCCATAATGTTCTCTCTCTCTCTCTCTCTCAGATAAATAAATAAAATCTTTTAAAAAATATTCCTTTAGATGGAAAATTTTCTAAACAGATTATTTCAATATTGATCTCTTCTTTAATAAAATGATGCTTTTATGGGCTTTTGAGTGTGTGGCATTCTCTACTCCTCTACTAAATGACCCTGAGTGTTGTACTTTTACCTTCCTGTTTCTGTTTTTTATTTTACAATTTACTCTATTTCCTTGCTTCTGGGTCGTCAGTCGTCACTTTCTGTTCCTGGAACTATGTATGTCAGAAGCACTCTGTTTCCTTCTATCTAATTTACCGCTGGACTTGCTTTCAGCTTGAAAAGTAGGTAGCCCAACTTAATAAAACGGTCCAACAAATAACAGTAAATAGGCTCCGTAATAGTTATGATGATTTGGGCTGCAAATAAAATAAAACTCCAACTGGACTGCTTCAAACGCTATGGACAATTGATTGTTTCACATAACGAGACGTCACAGAGTGAGGTGACTACAGAATTGTGTGTTCCAGTAGCTCATGGATGGCGCCCGTGACC